GCAGCTTGAGCAACCTGAGCAGCTTGAACTTGCGCTTGAACTTGTGCCTGAACTTGCGCTTGAACCTGAGCATCCACCTGAGCAACCTGAGCATGCTGTGCAGCGTTGACCACGGCAACCACGACAGCAGCTTGAGCAGCTTGAGCGGCTTGAACATGAGCGTGCATTCGAGCTTGTAATTGAGCGTGCACATGAGCTTGAACCTCGGCCTCGACAGCCGCCACAGCAGCAGCAGCAGTTACCACTTCAACATCCTGCGCTGTAGGTTGAGCCTGGACAGTGGCGACCGTCGACGAATCGCCATCTATTATCATGTGATCCATAAGCTGTTGTTCCTGGTGGTTTTGTTGTTGCTGCTGCTGTTCTACGGCGATCTGCATCAAGGCCTGCGTGTGCACAGGAACATTCAGAGGAGTGACTTGATCTATCGTATGTTGATGGCCATTTATATCTATTATAGGGGAGGGAGTAACCATTTCATTTTGCCTCTCGACGCTTTCCATGCGATGGTCCATCAGTTGGTTGTACATTGTAGTGGTGCCAACGGCAGTCTGTGGTTCTTGCGGAGTTGATAACATCACCTGAGGAGCATCTGAAGAAGGAATGTTTGCTAGTTGTGGCTGTTCTTGTTCTTGTTGTTGTTGAGACGCTAGAATCATCTTCGAAGATATCATGGAAACGCCAGGTGACACGCTCCCTATTGATACTGGAGGAGAATTTGAGGGTTCTGCAGGGTTCGTAGAAACAGGATTTATGACTAACATTGGTAATTGTTCTTGGTTAACTAACATAGCTATCTCCTGAGTGGGTGTCACGTCGGTCGCCCTGGTTGAAACCGGTGAAGACTGTGAAAGTGATGCGGTGGTGTTCAGCACCACCACCGGATTAGGTGAGTTCTCCATCAATAATACCTGAGTCTGGGGGTTCGACAGAGAGTCTAATGCGACGGTGCTGTTACTTTGTTGCGTTGTACTTGTTATGCTTAAACCGTTTATGGGAGGATTGCTCGTCGTGTCTGCCGGAGTAATCGTTGCAGGAGACATTTGACCATACTCAAAATTTTGTGATTCCATGAGTTCCTCCTTCCTAAATAAAGTCTACCACCGAAGCAGCGAGAAATTAAAAGGGATGTAAACAATAAAATAAAATAAAATAAAATAAAAATAAAGGAAAATAAAAAAGAACAGGAAAGAAAATGGTAGATTTGAAATGGAAACAAACAGACACTTGAACTTGGTGTGTTTGTAATGTTGAATTGATTGTCCCCAAAAAAAAAAGA